ATTTACACTCTGCGCTAAGAAGATACTCTGTGAAATCTTTGCCATATTCATTGGTAATGGTGCATCTGTAAACACCACAGTCTCTTTTGGACATCTGTATAATAGCCAAGCACACTTGAGTCTCATCTCCTGCACTAGAAAAGACATCAAAACAAAATACCATCAGCAGGTACGCTCAGCTTATAATAATACACATAAAAATATTGCAAGCTTTATGAACCACCAGTCATCATATAAACCAACAGTCAGTAGTGATACTTTAAACCCTGCTGGGAAAAAAACAATAGAAACCATCACAGACACTAATGGTTTCCACTAAAATACCATTACAAACATTACAAACCATCAACTTTTAATCATTAAAAAAATTAAAAATGGCTTCATGTAGTGTGTTTTGGGACATATTCCATTAGGATTTAGTGGTTTTAACAAGCCACCAATAGAAGGCAACCAATTATCAGTAGAGGCCAACAGGGTCCATTACAGTTTCCATTAAATGCAGTAAAATTCCCATTATAACCAGTAAAACCATTACAATTTCTGTGATGGTTTCTGTTTTTTTCAGTAGGGAAGTTTTAGGAATCTTAAAAAGAAAAAAAAAGTACTTCATTTCGAGACTGAATGTTACACTGAATGTAATGATATGATGGAGTTTAGTATGTGACTCATATTGATTGAGTAATTGATCTGAAGGACTTTGTGATTTATTCACTTTGCCAATCTGAACAACTTAAAAGATCCAAGTCTTAAGGCTATTTGTTCGTGAACTGGACTGTGAAGGTTGCACTGTATGTATCTGATTTACTACAAAGAACTGGCTCGTAAGAGTCATTAGTAAGTGTAAATCAGACTACATCGCTGTTTGTTTTTGATTTACAGAGTCGTGAATCGCAACACATGCAGTTGTTGTGTGCTAGGACGTGATTTTTATATTATTTTGCGGTATAATGTAATATATTGGGCGCTGAATACCACTTAGAGGTCAGTAAAATGTAAAGAAGTGCGTACCTTCTCTTTATCTCAGCAATTTCCACTTCATCCTTGTACCATTTTATTGTTGAGTCACTTACTATGTTGAAAAACTGACACCAGAGTTTCAGATTTCCAGAGGCATCAAACACCTCTGGTCGGATTTTACGGATAACCTGTGGGACTGCAGATAGTTGAAAGGGAGCCAGAGAGAAAAGAAGATAAAGGGGGGAACAAAGAGTCATAATGGTGAGATACACAGTGGGAACAGTCGGTACTAGCAACAGCAAAGGCCATAAGTGTGATTCCTAGGGAATGCATAAAATGCAATAGCTTTTCTGGAAAAGCAGCTTTTGTGGAATATTTGTCTACATTATTAATTAAAAATACTGTAACTGCTGGAATTGTGGGTTCAGTGTCCATTCCTTGCTGTCTTTACCTTTGAATTGGTTTTCTTTGTCTTTCTCTGCTGATTTGGGCTTAACATTCTCATTTCCTGCAGGTTTGGGGAGGTCAGCCTGGACAGTCCTCCGGGTGAGACGAGGGGAGTGTGTTTCCAATGATGTCTTCGATGGTGAGTTACTGACTGATTGTAATAGAGATGCAGGTTGTGTCGTCAAAGATAAATTGTCCCCCTGATATGAATCTCTTTTTGCTTCTTCAAGACACACGGCCATTCCTGTTTCACTCTTCTCTGTTTTAGTCCTGGGTAATGTAGTCTTTTGATCGGTCTTGGTGGCAAGCTCACTGTGGGCAGCAGTAGACTTGAAGACCTGGTCTGTAGTCTTCAACGGAATTGTTACCTTACAGGTAGTGAGCTCTGTCACTGCAGAAACTACTTCCTCGCCACATTTAATATTTTCTTTCGCGTTTATATGTGATGCAGCATTTATCTTGGCTGTAGTACTTAGATTTGAACTCTCAAAGTCTAATGCAGCCAACTTCAATTGTTTTATGAAGGAGTCTGAATCAGTTTTCAGATGAAGATCTGTTTCTTTAAGATGACTCATTTCAGCTACGTCAGCTTCATTGGTCTTTATGCTTTTGTCAGCAGGGTGATGTTGCATAGTGACATCTTTCAATCTAATTAAGTCTGATGCAACAAAGTCAGTGACACAATGACTTGATTCAGGTCCTTGAATCAGTTTTTCTTGAGTTAGTGGCTGTTGATGAGGCTTGTTGACTTCCGAGGGTTGTGAATGCAGGGAAAGATCAAGCTTTTCATCATGCAGACCTTCAGATTCCAAAACAGCTGTGGTCTTGTTCGTGGTGTCTGTGCATTCAGATATATTACCTACTTGCATGATTGTGTTGCTATTTGTCACGTTAGAGGTTACTGTATTCATTTCGGTTCTGGTTTCAACAGCATCTAAAGTGTGTTCTGTTTCTGTACTATTTTGAGATGTGCTGTCCACATCTGTTATATATATTGTAGGAATGGTCAATTCTGTGGGTAAAATCTTTGAACGTTGGGAGAGGAATGTAGAGGGGCCAGAATGATCATTGGCTTTTTTTGCAGAGTAACTCTGCATCTCGTGATTAGTTAATTTGGGTAGTTCAGATGTGGTTACATTAGACTGTGCCTGTATGTCCATTTTAGCAACATTGTCTGTAGATTCAAGATACGTGCTCTGACACTCTTGGGCCTTATTATCTTTCATTTGAACAGTAGAGATTGATGAGTCCGCAGACCTTCAGATTCCAAAACAGCTGTGGTCTTGTTCGTGGTGTCTGTGCATTCAGATATATTACCTACTTGCATGATTGTGTTGCTATTTGTCACGTTAGAGGTTACTGTATTCATTTCGGTTCTGGTTTCAACAGCATCTAAAGTGTGTTCTGTTTCTGTACTATTTTGTGATGTGCTGTCCACATCTGTTATATATATTGTAGGAATGGTAAATTCTGTGGGTAAAATCTTTGAACGTTGGGAGAGGAATGTAGAGGGGCCAGAATGATCATTGGCTTTTTTTGCAGAGTAACTCTGCATCTCGTGATTAGTTAATTTGGGTAGTTCAGATGTGGTTACATTAGACTGTGCCTGTATGTCCATTTTAGCAACATTGTCTGTAGATTCAAGATACGTGCTCTGACACTCTTGGGCCTTATTATCTTTCATTTGAACAGTAGAGATTGATGAGTCATTCATGGTCTGTGGTTGCACCACATCTGAGTTTCAACAAGACAATGACCCTAAGCACACAGCTAAAATAGACCCTATGCACACAGACTGTTCTTGAATGGCCCAGCCAGAGCCCTGACTTAAACCCAATTGAGCATCTCTGGAGAGACCTAAAAATGGCTGTCCACCAACGTTTACCATCCAACCTGACAGAACTGGAGAGGATCTGCAAGGAGGAATGGCAGAGAATCCCCAAATCCAGGTGTGAAAAACTTGTTGCATCTTTCCCAAAAAGACTCATGACTGTATTGGATCAAAAGGATGCTTCTACTAAATACTGAGCAAAGGGTCTGAATACTTAGGACCATGTGATATTTCAGGTTTTCTTTTTTAATAAATCTGCAAAAATGTCAACAATTCTGTGTTTTTCTGTCAATATGGGGTGCTGTGTGTACATTAATGAGGGAAAAAAATGAACTTAAATGATTTTAGCAAATGGCTGCAATATAACAAAGAGTGAAAAATTTAAGGGGGTCTGAATACTTTCCGTACCCACTGTATATGATACAAGAGATCAAGACATTTCCTTTATGGGAAGATAATGTACTTATACACACATTTAAAACAGATATACTGGTTCAGCTCAGCTGCACTGTACTAATGCCAGATCCCTAATCACTGTAAATCTGCAGGGAGAGTCTGCCACTTAACACTTCAGTCATTAATCTAAAATCAACAGATCATTGTGTTAGCTGAACCTCTGCAATATTATCACTTGATTATCTCTCATTTAGCTAAGATAAGAGAAAAACGAGAGAAAATAAGTGGATTCAACATTACTTTATTTAACAGACCCCACATTAGATAATGTGAATTCCTTAATTATATGATTACAAGTTAGAATGAGAAGCCACCTGTTTCCAGTTGACTAGGTCTATCTTTGTTTCTTATTTAGCATCTACTGCCTTGGGGAAGCTGCTGCACTGCCCATATTTAAAGAGTATTTTAAGGCTTTATGAGATCAGAGGGGAATGTGAGATATTAAAAGGAGAGCAGCTGGTCTGTCCACAGCACTTACGGCTAGCATAGTAAAGTTATATTTTGTATCTACTTTTAAAACGTCATGTAGCAACAGTTGATTAGGGATAGCAAACATATTTGATGGATCTCAGGATCTCTATACTTCCATGTGCCCTGAAGCCACAAAGTGCGTAATGGGAATATTATCATTGTCTGTTTCCCTACTTGTGTGTCATATAAGATGGGTCTTGTCACATCATCAAAGTCATGCTTGCGGCTCTATTTATAGTTTATGATTGTGACTTAGGGGGGGTTACTGGTCTCACTACCACCGGGAACATTACACTCGCATGAGGTCACGGCCAGAGCATGAGGAAACACTCACCAAGCTCCCAAGAGAGCATGCAGACGCATTCCTCTCCCCTGTGTCCACGTTGACGTCATTCCCACCACAGGAATGAGGAAAGATCCTCACACATGTACCTACTGGAGTTTTATTTCTGTGGTCATCAAAATCCAAGAGCTTCTTGTCTATAACTCTTGCATTACAGTTCTGGATAGTATCTAGAGCTTGAGGTTGGCGGTTTAATGTGCTTTTGTCAGATGATTTAGTTAGCTTTGTGTACTCAACCACCTTGTTCATCTGGGTTGTCATGGAAAACTTCAGTGGCAGTTGTTTCTGGGTTGTAATGGGCTTTTGAACTCTCTTTGATTCTGAGGAACTTTCCTTCGCTTTCTCTGACTGTTTAGCATTCTTTTTTGTGTCTGTTATGTCCACTTTGATTCTTGACTCAGTCACTGAAGTGATCTGAGCACCTTGAGCTCTCTTTGATTCCTCTGAGACACTTTTTTGCACTTTTGCTGACTGTTTTTCATTCGTTTTTGTGTCTGTTACGTCCATTTTGTTTCTAGATTCAGTCACTGAGGCAATCTGAACACCCTGAGCTCTCTTTGATTCTTCCGAGACACTTTTATTGACTTTCTCTGACTGTTTTTCATTCTTTTTTGTGTCTTTTATGTCCATTTTGTTACTTGATTCAGTCACTGAGGCAATCTGAGCACACTGAGCACTCTTTGGTTCTTCTGAGACACTTTTGTTCACTTTCTCTGACTGTTTTTCATTCGTTTTTGTGACTGTTATGTCCATTTTGTTTCTAGATTCAGTCACTAAGGCATGGTGAGCTCTCTTCGATTCTTCTAAGGCACTTTTGTTTACTTTTACTTGCTGTTTTTCATTCTTTTTTGTGACTGTTATGCCAATTTTGTTTCTTGATTCAGTCGCTAAGGCAATATGAGCACCCTGAGCTCTCTTTGATTCTTCTGAAGGACTTTTGTTTGCTTTCACTAACCATTTTTGATTCTTATTTGTGGTTATGTCCATTTTAATTCTTGATTCAGTCACTGAGGTGATCTGAACACCCTGAGCTCCCTTTGGCTTTTCTGAGACCATTTTGTTCACTCTCTCGGACTGTTTTTCAGTTGCTTTTGTGTCTGTTATGTCCATTTTGTTTTCAGATTCTGTTGTTGATGTGATCTGAGCACCCTGAGCTCTTTTTGATTCTTCGGAGACACTTTTGTTTGTGTGTGCTGAAGTTTTTTCACTTTTTCTTGTGTCTGTTATGTCCAATTTGTTTCTAGATTCAGACACTGAGGCAGTCTGAACATCCTGAGCTCTCTTTGATTCTTTGGAGGGGCTTTTGTTCACTTTCACTGATTGTTTTTCACTTATTTGTCTGTCTGTTATGTCCATTTTGTTTTCATATTCAGTCACGGAGGTGATCTGATCGACAGTGTTCTGTACTTCCATCTTCTCAGTGGAAGCCCCACTCTCATTCATTATCTCTTCACTTCTTCCAGTCTGTCTGTTTTCCTTAATTCCCTCTGTTGCTTCTATTGAGATTTTGATCTTCTTCTTGACGTAATGCTCATTAGTCTGTTTGCTGGAGGCAATATGCATGGTATCGTGGATATACGTTAGCCCCTGGTCATCTTTGTCTCTGTTTGTGATCATTTCACAGTTTGAGATTTCATGAACAGATGCTGACTCTTGAACTGGAGGTGTTGGACTGAGAGCATCCACCTCCATGGCTTTCTCCTCTGAAGGGCTGCCAGCCGCTCTGGTCTCCATGGGGGACCTACGTTTCCTTTGGGCTCTTTCAGGACTGCTCACCCTGACGTTCTCGCGGGCTGCTGGGACATTCTCTTTGCCTGCATTGCGGGGCTCCTCCTGCTCTCGACGTCGGTTCTCATTTCGCAGTTTAAGCTTTGCAAAGTAATTTTGATGAATCTTGTACTCATTCATTGTTCCCACCTCCAACACCCCTGAACATGACACGATGCCTCGACTGTTCTGTGCTGATGCTTGGTAAATTGCAGCATCCTCCAGAGTACAGCTAAGATAGAAATACACACAGTTAAATGTTCACTAAACAGTAATCCAAACAAGAAAACTGTTTCTCAGAAAACAGCATACTTGTATATTTGGAGTGTATGTGTCCTGTCATCACGTGAAATTTCATATTTGGGAAGGCCGCAGTATCTGTCCAGCTGTACATCATCTTTGTACCATGTCACCTCAGGGACTGGGTGGCCTGCAAATGTGATGGTTAAAATTAAAGTTTAAAGTTTGGACAACTTGCTCCACAATGGATTCACTTGCTTTAATGGGATACCTGAGACCACACAGCTGAACTTGATGTTAGCGTCTTCAGACACAGCTTTGGATTTTAATGTGGTCTCAAATGTTGGCTGTATCTCCTCAGTCAATTGGGCCATGACACTGCAGAGAGTGCTCCTAAAAATGGAGGTAAATATTGTAATCGATCTGAGGTTAAATATGTATTACTAATTTGCTTTATCATCAGCAGAGCACTGACATCACTGTCATCATTATTGTTAGCATTCATGCAAAGTAAGATTTACAGTGTTTATATTGGCTAGGTCAGACACAATATTAAAATAAACAGAAAATTCTAAAGATTAAAAGTGTATATCAAACTCTTTGTTAGATAGGTGTTTTGACTTTGTATAATTGTAGGTAATTCAGATGCCACTGCATCATTAACATCCTTATGATAAGCATTTTCTTTTCTTATTAACCTTACAGTAAGTTCATAAATGGGTGTTTCTTCAACTTCTATGTTCCCTATGCCCCTTTCATTTTTGTTATATGAAGCCATACATTTCATATTTTCATCAGTCATTCATTTTGAAATGTCTTTTATGTATAGATATTTTTATAGATATTTTATAGATTTTATTCTAGACAAACATGTCTGCAAGGAGCAAATGAAATTAAATTTAAATAAAACATGAATAAAAACAAGAAAATTTAAGATTAATATAACTTGTGAGAAAAAGATATTTATTGTGCATCATTTATGATCGAGCTGTAATTATTAAATTACATTAACATTTAGTCATTTAGCAGATGCTTTTATCCAAAGCGACTTACAAATGAGGACAATGGAAGCAATCAAAATCAACAAAAGAGCAATGATACGCAAGTGCTATAACATAATTGTGTAAATAATATATATAATATATATATATATATATAATTGTATACATTAACATTACATTACATTAACATAAATTTTACAGCACCATAATTTTCACTACATTATATTATTAAAAAATGCATCATTTAAGATGTGGTGGAAATTTTAGTGAACTTTTTTTTTTTAAAGATTAAAGATAATCGAAACAAAATTCTCCTCTGTATGTATTTGTGAGTCATTAAACTATTGAGATTATGAGAACTTTATTTAAAGTCTACAGAGAAAACAGAGCCTTAAATTGATGAAACACCCATAAATCGTACCTGCTGACATTACAAACACTGTCAGGTCAAAAAAAATTAAATCATCTAGCGTTTTAGGATTTGAAGTACACATCTGTTTCTGCTGCTGTATAACTTTACTACAAGGCTGTATGTCAACCTGTTAGGTTAGTTAGTCCTGGTTAATAGGTGTCATTTTACCTGGATGGCTTGAACTGAGAGAATCTATGACCAGCATAGCTAAGCAGAGATGAAGCAAGCACAAGAATCAATCAGCCATGCGCACAAGTTTGCTTTAGTGATGACCGAAATCACACAGAAACTACAGGACTTAGGTCTATTTGTACTTGAGTACATGAAGTTCTTTATATTTGGGAATTCTTTCATTCCCAAAAATGTAACAAAGTAAACAAGTGAAATCTCCATAGTAGGGGAAAACACCCCCTACTGTTTTTCCCCAAATAACCACCAGATAAATTCAAGATACATTTTTATTGTAGGTGTTATTTAATAAAAATATAATTATATTTTCAGAATAAATTTTTTTTTTCAAACATAGTCAGTCATAAAACGCCCCCAGGGGTTAATGGGCAATTACTGTAGTTATTCTGTTCTGAACATAATATCCTTTGTTTTTCCATCAAATGTATTCAGGCCCGTAACCAGCTATGAGGTCAATTTTTCATGTTCAAAAATAAAATGTGTTCTTTGAATGACTAATTTGCTGTTAAACTCCTCATATGAATGCCTGCATGACATATATAACTCAATTTAGACAGTTTGCAAGATTGTTTAGCGTCCGTCCATGGCATGAACCTGATCGCCGCGAGACGCTGGCGGAGTGAAGGAGGCTCGAGAGAGTTGTGAGTGAGGGCGCGGGCGCAGCCTCCGTGTTGCCAGATCCAGTTAATATAAGCGTTTTTGGACTTGTCTTTTCCACTTAATTTAACACTTTAGAAAGTTGATAAAGTTGGAAGTTGCAGTTTAGAGTCAGCGACAGCGATATCTTTATCATATCTTATTTGCAAAAGATTGGAAATAATTTCGGTTTATTTTTATTTATCTTTCCTAGTTTGTTTGTTTTAGTATAAATATCTGGCAACAGTGCAGCGCCGGTGTCATGAGAAATCGATTCCCCCCTCGAAATCGGGTCCGCTTAGGACCCCGAGTGATCCCATTGGCTCAAGGAACTATTAATGGGTATTATTTTTAGCGCCTGATTACAATTCCTGCAAAATCGTGCTTTGATTTATGTCGTTTGAATTCGTTATAATGACCATTAATGTATTTTAAATTACATGTTTCATACGCTAGTATCCGAAGCTATACGGGGGGGTACTAGGGATGGGCGATACCCCTGATTTTGTTTTCGATACGATACCGATATTTTTCAAGGCAGTATCGTCGATATCGATTCGATACTTCTGCACTAAACTTTTAAATTATGAAATGTATTAAATTATTAAATTACTAAGAGAAAATGGGTAATGAAAACCACTTAACTTTGTTTAAAACGCATTTTAACCCGTTTAATCCCAAATTTTTCCCAGACATGAAAATATACAAATGATGTGTCAGTAACCCTTTGAAATAATCAATAATTTTTTATTTTTTTTGGAAAAGTGTGTGAAAATTTTTATTTTATGGTCAGTCACAATTGTAACCAGTGGGATAATGTGTATACTGAATTAACATATTTCTGTTCTCGTTTTTATTTTTATTTTTTGGTTAGCTCACGTACTAGCATAGCATACAACTACCCGATTAGCCTGCTATGTTAGCTTATACACTACGCATTTACACTTACCATACATATATTCACAACGAAATAGTAACGTAAGTGTTGACTTTTGATCAGGCATTTAAAACAGCTACCGCTTTGGTCCTAAGCGGACCCGATTTCGGGGGGGGGGGGGGGGGGGTGGGGGG